ACTATTGCTTGGCCCACATTACAGGGTAATGGGGCCGATTTACTCCTCCCAGCAATCGCAACAGGTCTGCTATCAGAGTGATCTTAATCCTGTGGTGTGGGGTGTCTATAATCCAGTCTTTACTATTCTGATCTACTCCCAGTCCAGTCGGGGCTGTACAGTATCCTGTACACTGTTAGAAATAAAGATATAGTGCAGGTACATTTTTCATTCATCAAGGTACAAACAATGTAAATGTTCCCTCAAAGGTACAGCAGTGGTTTTAAGGTCTGATTGTGAACCTTAAATAAGTTTTTCCCAGGAGAAAAGTTCGTATTTGTATCTTTTCATAACCAAATGTTTGAAAACAGAACAGTAAAATAAAAGCCTGGAGACGAGACGGGGTGTGTGGAGTCAGTACAACTTAGAAAATATGATTTCAGTGGATTATGGTTCAGTTATGTTCCCTGACTAAAGGTACTGAGATGTACCCTTGGGGATACCATCCCAGTGACAAGAGGGGGACTGCCCCAGTGACAGTTTAGTACCTTTATTTCTGAGAGTGTAGTGGGAGGGAAGCCGATTCTCTGGTGTGAAACACAATGTTGACATCATGCCTGAAAGGCCGCCAACCAATGAGAGCCAAGCTGAACTGAACTGGTCAGTATGTATATATATGTATGTATGTATAAGCTTGTGTTGCAGTGTGTATAAGCCCTGTTGACCCCTTCTTTTCAGCCATGGCTCCATCCATTTTTTTTCTTCCTCTTGGCTTTTTCTCTGCAGAAGTCACACACCACCCGCATAGCGATAGCCTCGCCATCAACCGCCGTGTTTGTTTAGATCTAAAGTAACGTTGGTTCCTGAGAAACTCTCTCAAGGCTTTGAGAATCTGAACCATTAGTCGGGACTCTTGTTTGCATGCATAATCTGGAAGTGTGTTATGTTTAATTCAGGGCAGATTGTGTAGTATGGGGACTTTGATGACAAACAACAACCAAAAAACTGGTGAAAAATGTCATTATGTGTGGGGTCACTCACATTTTCAACATCAGTTAGGATTTTCAAAATCCTGTTTTGTGGGTCAGGCACAACACTTTACTGTAGAGCAATGTTTATGAAGCTACATGAGACCTACACAACTTCTGACATAAACCTACATAAATGTTTATAAAGGCTTATTCCAGTAAGCCTCATCTGTCATAAAGGCTTCTTTTGTTAACTTTGATATCAAGATTAAGTGACCCTTATTAGTCCCACAACAGGGAAATTTCACCTCTGCAAACTAATCCATCCGTGCAGTGAAACACCACATACACACTAGTGAGAACACACACTAGGGGCAGTGAGCACACTTGCCCAGAGCGGTGGGCAACCCTATCCATGGCGACCAGGGAGCAGTTGGGGGTTAGGTGTCTTGCTCAAGAGCATCTTAGTTATGTACTGTTGGCTCAAGGGATCGAACCAGCGACCTTCTGATCACAAGGCTGGTTCCCTAACCTCCAGCCAAATAACAGCACATTATCACAACTGACTCTGCAGCTTAGTATGGTGCAGTCTACCAAATTACTCCAAACTGCGGACCCACAGTAAAAAATATTTAAATTTAAAAACAATTAAGTATTCAGATCTTAGATATTTACAAACATTTTGTTATGCTTTATTTAAATCCAAAGCAATAATGAAGAGAGTAATAAGCTAAATATATACAAATCATCATTTATAGGGTACGTTCTATTGGGAGGTGTCTGTCCCAAATCCTAAAATCCTAAATTTACACTTACACATTTTTTTTTAAATCTTCTTGATTTCTTTTTAAATGAAGCTGAAAGATTTAGATTTAGATGTATGATGTAGACCATAATATTTAGAGTTTAATGTAAATTAAAAAAAAAAAATTCAGAAAATGCTGTCCCACGTTGTCACTTCCATGTGTTTCATATAACTTCTAAACTAGTGTGTAGGTGGAGCCTTATTTTAGGGGCCACGCCCCTTCATTTTAGAGCTGGAAGTGAGACTGCAACCCTGTCCCTTGTGGCCACATGGTAAGCAGTTAGACTGTTTTGAAGCAAATGTGTCCCCGAAGTCTGTAAATCGGTGTGGAACATTACGAATTGTCACTAAAAATGAGCTAAAATTGTTACTACCGAAACAGTCACTACTGAAACATTTGGTGAGGTTTCGGTGGTGTTATGATTGTTTTGGTAGTGACAAAACTGAATGTTGAGTGTGTTGTTGTTTTTGTTTGTTTGTTTTGCTGTTTGCCTGAAGAAGAGGTTAGTTAGATTTCTGTTTACACAGCAAAACATCATCATTGTAACATCCAACAACTTTTTTGAACATCACAATTTATGTCTGTATCTTTCAGCTCTAGTTAATATTAAAAAAGGAGTAGAGGAAGCTGGTCTTAGATCAAGATGAAATGATGTATGATTAGAAAGTACAAGGGGTACATCAGCTTGGGGTGGGGGGGTTCCCTTGTGGGATTAGTGAGAGGATAGTCTGTGTTATAAGCTGCTTGAGCATTAATGAGCTGAGATCAAAGCTGCTATTTTTGTGCTACTGGGACAAAATAAAACAGCGTAAATCACAGAACAGATAAATAAGTTGTCCCTTGATGTCACACTCGACTTGTCAACCTTTCTGGAGTGAAATCCTTATTATGCGTTATAGTCCTTAATGCCTGTGGTACAGGACATCCGAAATGACATCATAGCTGACATAACATTTTGTGTCTGACTGATTAGTATCTCATCAATACTGATTTTCCAGAGCAAAAAAATTACTAATAATATCACACACACATATTATCTAAGCTGTTTATCCTTCTGGGTCACGGGGGGTGCTGGAGCCTATCCCAGCGGTCATTAGGCGGAACGCAGGAAACACCTTGGACAGGTCACCAGTCCATCACAGGGCATTCTAATAATATCAACTGGTATAATTTTATACAAATTCCAACAGGTTACCGAAGGACATGATAGTTTTGTGTTCAAGTTTACCAGCTCTGCCTTTATTGCTGTGATAAAAGTCAATTTAGCAGTGTGTCTGAAGAGCGATACAAGGATGGGACCATCCTCAAAAACTCAGTTTTCCTCATATAAGAAATATGAATTCATTATACTATAAAGCAACTTCAAAGCACTATGTTCTTTCACTCACTGGCCATTTTATGAGGCCCACTTGTCTTTTAGGTCCACCATATCAGTGTGCAATTACAGTCTGTAGCCCATCTGTTGCTGCTCAATTTATTAGATGCCCTTTACCCATTCATCATTGGTCATTTTCTGACCACAGGACCGCTGTAGTCCTGATACACTTTCTCCTGCCAAATACACAACACTGCATGTGACGTTAAATATCATGCTATGCACAAAATTAGCATGTTGATTCACATTAACCCCTTTAAACCCCAGGCTATGACATACTAAGTCTTATTAGTCAGAAACTACAGGCAAGTCAATGCAAACTGGCTGAGCTATTCTTAGTTTATAGAAGTGTGTAATAAAACTTTGGGCCCACGAGTGGGCCCTGGCCATTTAAGGGGTCAGTGTTCCCCACATGGTATGACTAATCTCAGATGTGTTCAACAGTGGATCCAGTTTCTAGGTTCGGATATTATCACTAGTCAAAGGGGACTTCCACTGACCACAAATATAGCTATTTTATTTACTATTCAAAACCAACAGTGAACCTACTTGTGTCTTCTGGGTTTTTATATGTAAAGTTGATGATGGTAAAATAGTGGCTAGTTTGAAAGAATAAGTTTTCTTTGGCTACTGTATTTGTCTTACATCCCTGGCATATGTCTCATTACCATAAATGGATTAGAAAATACATTTTAGGCCAAATGCCTATCAAAAACTGTCGTGAAACGAGATCTCGGGCACAAGGCAATGTATTTATAACCATTTCCTGTATTAACTGTGAACAATTCTGACTAGGTTTCTCTAGAACGGAGCATTGCACATCAAACCACTCCGAATGACTTTGTTTACATTTTGATTTTGAAAAAAAATCATGTAACTCATTTGGCCCCTGTTGAAGACCTCTGTATCTCCTCCACACTGCTCTCAGACTGAGACATCAGCGAAGCGTGAAAAACAAAAATAGTTGAAATATGTTTCCAAGTACCAAGAAAAAACCTGTCGTTCGCGGCCGCTGCCATTTCTCGTCAGACCTGGATTATGCTAATGCCTCCAGCAGAGTTGTGAATTAGGCCAGCGCGGCAGGGATTTCAATCAGCCCGCGTTCGCAGGGGGAAAGTGTAAATTCACACCCTGTTATCAACAAAAGTGGATGTTCTTCGCATGTTTTTATTTGGGCTCTTCTCATAAAACTGTGTGAACCCAGCTTGCTTTCTAGCAGATGTTTGGTACCATACTAAAGCAGAGAGAAAAGGAAACAGACAGGGGAGGCAAGGAGACAGAGAAGGCTGAGAAAAAAGGAAAAAGGCAGAGAAAGAGAGGGAGAGAGAAATCCCTACTGCTTACAGCAATTAGAGCAGCTACCCTCCATCTGTGCATGAAATAACACACTCCAGCTCGCAGGACATTTCAGCCATCAATCAGCAGCTTGTTATTCTGTATCTGTGTGTGTGCGTGTGCCGGTAGGTATAAGGGATATAATTTATTCTGTGTTAATTAGAGGGCAATCGAAGTAGGTTATGTACACACATACGCACACACCAAAAGAGATGCAATACTGCCTGGCGGAATAACTGGCAATAGAAGGACATCACGGGCAGCATACAAAGTGGACAAACAATGATCCGGCTACATTAATAGACATTCCTGATGGTAGGAGTGGGGACTAAACAGATGGAAATACCAAACAGGTTAATCGAATACTGTGACCTTTTGAGCAATTGATGTTTTAGCCCCTTAGTCTTTTTCACTGAACCACTTTAACCTGCCATATTCTCCTTTCTCTCCACAGGCTTGGTAGTTGTAGGGGAGGTTAATGTATCCCCTTGATACCCTCCCCACAAGGTGGCACTCTGAAGGGAGTATGCCCCCCGTCTCACCATGCCGCCATCCTACTGGCTGCTCCGGCACTCTGTGGTCATGTGCTTGTTGCTACACAGCCTGGTGCTGATGACCCTGTGCTTCCACCATGCGGCTACGTCCTGCTCGAAACGTTGTTACTGCTCTGAAAGCGAGGGTCCAGCTGGGGGCAAGACCATGCGCTGCAGTAACCTGCGCCTCACTGAGATCCCACGGGACATCCCCAATGACACACGCCGCCTCTACCTGGACTACAACTTGCTGACCAGCATCCCTGCCAATGCCTTCCAGGACCTTCCATTGCTGGCCGAGCTTGATCTGTCCCACAATGATCTGGCTGTGCTTGAGCCAGGAGCCTTCCGAGGCCTAGGTGCCTCCCTGCAATTCCTGGACCTGTCCTCCAACCAGCTGTCTACACTGGACCCGGAAGCTTTTGAAGGCTTGAGGGCTCGATCAAATCTAACAGGCAACCCCTGGCACTGTGACTGCAGGCTGCAGACAGCCCTTCCGCGCCTTGATTTGGAGCCTGTGTCTCTTACCGGCATCGTTTGCCAGACTTCTGAGCCCGAGGATTCCGGTGCCCAAGGTGTGCCCTTCCTGCTGGCCAAAGACCTGGACCTGTGTGTGGTGCTCAAAAAGACCACGGACGTGGCCATGCTAGTGACCATGTTTGGCTGGTTCACTATGGTCATCTCCTACCTGGTCTACTACGTGCGGCACAACCAGGAGGATGCCAGGCGCCACCTGGAGTATCTCAAGTCTCTGCCCAGCAGGCAGGGCAAGTCTGAGGAGTCTTCCACCATCAGCACTGTGGTTTGACAGCAGACCACATGCTCATCACTACAAGGAGGAAGCTCCTCAGGCACCCAAAGGGCAATGGGCACACTCAGCAAATAAGTGCACTAGGCACTAGAGTCTGGCCAGGTAGGGGAGCCCACCAATAAGCAGATTAACGTCTCTGGAAAGGGCACGTTTGGCGGCCTGCTGATGCTCTTACCCACTCTCCAAGGTTCAGTCCATCTTTGCAGATCAGTCAAAGCAACCAGGCTCAACGACTGAATGAGGAAGAAGAACTAGAGAAACTTCAGCTGTAAGTCGTCCATCTCAGGCTCAAGGGTAAAGATGGGTCCTCCTGGGGGATCTACAGGCCAGTGTGCAAGGCCTCCTCCAGAACTTCCACTGCAGCAGGAGAATTGCAGAGGCCATCTAATCTCATCTAGCTAAATAATTGATCCAGGAGCGGCCAGGCTCCGAGTCCACGTTAGCTGAGTGGTCTGTCTGCACTGGACGCTTTTAAAGGAGGGGTTGTTGTTTCTTTCCTCGTCAACCCAGCAATCTTTTTTTGGAAAGGTCCCCATTTAGTTGCAGGAGCATGTAGCGTAAAGCACTCTCTTTCTTCCTTCAGGGTATTAACAAGAGAAGTCCTGGTGTATATCTCTGCAGACTGCATCAAAGCCTACACCAGAGCCGCACACGAACTTGCACATCAATCATTTCTAAGGTGTTCTGTATAAATGCCTAGCACCCTACTGCGCAAAAGTCCAGAAACGGTATCTTTTTTTACAGTATTTTGTTCTGATGTGTATTGTAAAGGTTTTAGAAAAGAAAGATATGTAAGTGCTTTCTTTGTCCTGAGTCACAATCCCAACAAAGCTAATGATGAAACATGAGTGAAAGAGACCAACTGGTTCATTGTTTTTCTGACTCTAGGCTTTTTCAGAGGAAAGACCACGGGTGGTAGTTTGATGATCCCATTGAAAAATGACTCCATTGAAAAAGCTTTTAGGTTTAAAATGCTGTGATGTTGACTTGTGCTCTGTAGAGGAATTGTAAGCTGCTATAAAACATCCAGCACTGCGTAAATTTGTAGTTTCTCAATTTGGCATTTAAAATGCTCCCATTCAGTACACACCTGATTCAAACTCTGCATCTGTCAGTCATATGTTCTGATTTCTAGCTGTGTGTAGTTCTGGGCGATATATTGACTGTACCAGTGTACTACGTTACACTAGTCCAAAAGTATCTAGACACCCCTTCTAATAAGGGAATTCAGCTTCTTTAGGGTTCACAAATTGCTGCATCAGATTTTTAAATGTGCACACACAACTTAAGCTCCACAGAATAGCATTGACCAATAGGATAGGACACTCTGCAGGAGCCGTACATGAGCCAAGGGTCACCCTGTCAGCTAGAGGGGTATAAGGGCCCCCAGCATTGGACTATGGAGCAGTGGAACTGCATTCTCTGAAGTGATGACGCTCCATACCTTTGGGATGAGCTGTATAGGCTTTCAGAAGAGTAGATGCTGTTACTGCAGGAAAGGGGGACAGAGGATGAGCAGGTGTCTATAAACCTTTGGACATACAGTGTCACGTACAATAAGATTGAGCTTTTCAGATCAAGTAATATTTTTAGCAATATTTTTGATACATAATGAGTATGCCCTAATAGACAACTACAATAAATGTCATTTGCTGCTTCAAAATGTTTTAAAACACTAGTTTGAAATCCATAAAAAATAAATAAATAGTGTGTTTCTGTCTGCTTAAAGTTAATAGTACCATGTAAGGCTCAATTTTGCAATTTTAAGAGAAAAGAAGCAGGCTTCCAATCAAAACAAGCTGTCAGGATTGTAAGATCATCATTTTATCATAGAGTGGAAGCATAAGTTCATTAACTTTGGACGCCAGAGACGTTTTTAAACCTTTTCAGCCAGATAAAAGAAGCCAAATTGAGGTACCTACCTTACTAACTTTCGTTGTCCTCTTCACAAGACATTTCTGTCAATTGAGTCATTCATTCTCTCAATTGCAATGATGATTTGAACACAGTTATCACAGTTATTTGGCTGTGTAAGATGGTTGGTTTCCTCATTAGCTACCTGCCTTCTTTCCACATTCACCAGATAATTAAAAACAAAAACACCAGTTCAAAACAGCCCCCCAAAAACCCACCCCAAAAAAGTTGCAGTTTTTCTGAAGTTTCTTCCACTTTCAACATACATCATCAGAAGTGGGTTTTCATAGTCATAGGGTTTTCAAAGCCACTTTGGAATTTGATCATTTTACACAGGCAGACAAAGGCAGTGTTAGGAGTCTTGCCCAAGGACTCTTATTGGTATAGTGTAGGGTGCTTCCCCAGGCAGGGCATTGAACCTACAGTGTAGAAGGCAGTGATGTTACCCACTACCCTCTACCAACCACTCTCGCTGCTGTAGGATGCGGGTAAGCATGTTTACAACAAATATGGCAGTTTCCTCAATATCGCCCAGCACTAGCCTAGTCTGATATTACAGGACAGTGCAGTATATTAAGCTGTGTATTGTAGCTGTGCACACCTAACATTAGCTCTCATGCTAATCCTCCACAGACGGCTATGGAGGATTTGCGCAGAAATGCCACCTACATGTACTTGTCTCAAATCAGAGCCTGTTGTGCATAAATTTGACTCAAGACTCGAGAGCAGCGGCTTATGAAAGGAATTAATTGAATTTTGCATGACAGCCCTTGCCCTCGTGCTGGGCTCTGTGCGCCTGACTGACTGAGACCTTTATTCTGTCAAATATGAGAACTACTCACGCAGCATTGGATGTTACAGTTATGCAGGGGGTACAGCCGGTAAAAGCAGATTTCCTGACCTTTTTTCATTGGCTTAAAACTTGTCAGCAGATTAGAACTAAGCAGAGCTGTTGCATCACTATAGGAACCCAGATGATGATGCTTCTAATGTGAATTCCTAAAAGGAGAAGAAACATTTCAGGATCAGTAATACAGTCTTGTGCACAGGTTTGGGCACCCCCGGTCAAACGACAATTTTAAGTTAACACATCCTACAGGGAACACAATTCTGCCAATTTTAATGTAGTTGTATTTTTGCATAATGGAACAAATAATGCTTAAAATGAGGCAAACATTTCGGCATATACAACATTCTGGGATAGATTTAATAAATGTTTGCTGTGGTGCTGCTGCTTTTTGTGCATGCAAATGCACCCACAATTTAGCACTGCGTGTGCAGAAGCTGTTTTGCATGTGCACACGAGGGCGCCACTGAGCTAATCCTAATGCGTGGCCATGATATAGTAGGCCTGAGAATGAGATAGTAAGTCTTGAATGACACCAAGTAAGGCATAAGAACAAGATAGTAAGTCATGACCACAGCTTAGTAAGGCCTGAGAATGAGATAGTAGGTCATGGCCCTGACTTAGTTAGGGGTGGGAATGAGATAGTAAGTTGTAGCCACAACTTAGTGACGCATGGTAATGAGATAGTAATTTGTGCCCATGAATTAGTAAGGCTTGAGAATGAGATAGTAAGTCATGACCTTGACTTAGTTAGGGGTGGCAATGAGTCATGGCCACTTAGTGAGGCATGAGAACAAGATAGTAAGTGATGACCACAGCTTAGTAAGGCCTGAGAATGAGATAGTAAGTCATGGCCCCGACTTAGTTAGGGGTGGAAATGAGATAGTAAGTCATGGCCACAACTTAGTGAGGCATGCCAATGAGAGAGTAATTTGTGCCCATGACTTAGTGAGGCCTGAGAATGAGATAGTAAGTCCTGTAGAATGAGAGTAAGGCATGAGAACAAGATAGTAAGTCATGACCACAGCATAGTAAGGTCTGAGAATGAGATAGTAAGTCATGGCCCTGACTTAGTAAGTGGTGGAAACCAGATAGCAAGTCGTGGCCATGACTTACTAAGGCATGGGGATGAGATAGTAAGTTGTGGCCACAACTTAGTGAGACATGGGGATGAGATAGCAATTAGTGCCGTCAATACCACGTTATTTCTGTTAAAAAGGGATGATATCAGTGGGGCTCTGTACATTTAATTAACACTTAAATGTAAGCAGTTCTTTTAAAAAATTGAGAGTATGATCTACGTAGTGTTCACATATCACTGCTTTTGGAACAAAACTTTGTGTCTCCATTTTTGTCGTTTTTCAGTTTTTGGCATAATTTGAAAATACCTGTTGCTCTTTATGTTGTGTGTAAATTTTATGATGAACGGACCAAAATTACTTAGAAACTTAAATTACTTACATTTTTCCAAAATTACTTGGAAAAAAGTCTGGTTCCATTGACTTATATTAAAAGTAACGTATGTTTTTTCCTTCTCCTGTAAAGTTACCATTTTAGAGATACAAGGTTTTCTTCCAACAACAGCGGTATGTACATTTGTAGGCAATACATATAAATAATTTTTTAATCTACAAGAAAAAGGTAAAAAGAATTTCTAAAAATTGCACAAAACAATAAACAAATCAGTACCGCTTTAAAATAAGACTACCCTTATAAAGCATTTATGAATGGTTTAAATTAGTTTGCTCATGGTTATTGGTAAGGTCATAAACACTTTAACATCATTAATAAAACACAAATTAAAAGGCAAAAGTGAGCTGTTATGTATGATGAATATGAATATGTGATGTGTTGAGGAGTGCTGAGGAGTTTATTGCTGAATGTGGTTTGACTATTCGCAAACAACTGTTCACAGTTGGCCTTTTTTATTTATGTATTGTAACTGCGTATTAATAATTTTCAGGTCTTTATGACCTGATTAATAACCATTAAGAAACTAATTTTAAACCATTTATGAATACTTTATAAGGGTAGTCTTATTTTAATGTGTTACCCAAATTTCTCTCCATGATCTTTGAAATGCAAGACATTGTTTTGTTTGTGCACGATATGAAACAAACCTTTAACTTTCAGCGTTCACCCAGATTTATTTGTTTGTTTGTTTATCCACAGAGGTTTTGGTAGGTTTATTTCTTCTTTCAATATCTCTAACTGGTTGAAACAAGCTCTAATGAATGTGTTTTAGCACCTCTGCAATTTAATTTAGCCAGTTTGCGCTAATGCCACAACAAATCATGAGCAGCCTAGAGTCGGCGCTCGCTAATCATAGCAAATAAATAGATATGTATTAAAATTTGCAAAGAAATTAGATATTGAAGTTTGTTCTCTGTAGAGAATGTGTAAATGTATTTGCAGTTAGAAAAACTGTAAAAAATCTTTATTATTATTATTTACATTTGTTTTTTACTTTAAATGTCAGTATCCTTTAGTTTCTTTCAAATGCAGTATTCAGGGTTCACTTTAATGAAAAACTGACTACAAAAATTGTACCTAACAGTTCATTAAAGATACTCTTAACACACAAAAGAGAAAGAGTTTGGTACTGTGGTGCTTTTCCAGAGAACATTTCTGTTTTCTAATGAGAGAGTTCCTGCTGAGGAAACTCCTTCTGTGTTGGCACAGTGATTTTCACACCCAAGGCGACCGCACACTCATGCATGCATTGGCCTGGAGCTGAGCAGAAAGCTGTGAAAGTCATCCCGAAGACTCGCTAACTCGGTACAAACATAGACACAGCAAACATCATCCACAGCCATCTGACCAGAAGTGTAGAAGAGACAGTTTTGACTGATACTGTGTGGGCATGGAGGCCTCTAATAGATATGAGTAATTACCTTCTAGTTTAGTCATATAAACAGAACTGTATTTATTTCTTTTAATCTCTGTTTTCATGTGACAGGTTTTCCACATTACTCTCAAAAAAAGATCTCAGACTTTCAACTGATCTTGGACTTTGGCCTAAAATCTTTTTGCTTTGAGTGGCTTAATTATGTTTATTTTATTAAAATAAATGATTGAACGTTCCGTTTTGTCACTTCCAAAACAATCATAACACTGCCCAAACTTTACCAAGTGTTTTAGTAGTGACTGTTTCGGTAGTGACTGTTTCGGTGGTGACAGTTTTAGCAAACACAGCTTTGAACAGTTGAACACACATCATTTTATTTTTCATTAAAACACCAAAAAATTACTTAACTGCAAAAAATATGTGTTTCAGTAATGACAGTTATTAATGTTCCACACTGATCTTCAGATTTTGGGACACATTTACTTCAAAATCAATGGGATCTAACTGTGGCAACTTACCATGTGGCAATGAGGGACAGGGATGCAGTCTCAATTCCTGGTCTAAATTGCAGGGGTGTGGCTAAAATAAGGCCCCGCCTACAGACTACAGCTTTTTGTTTTAGCATTTTAATACATATTTTAATTAAACTTAAAAACCTAAACTAAATTATTTTTATCTTTAAAAATCAAAGAACTAAAAATGTCTTAAAAAATACAAAGAAAAGTTTAAGTTTAAGAGTCAATGTTTGAGACCTCTGAGTGGAAAGTACTCTATAAATGATGGTTTTGTATATATTTAGCTTAAAACTATCTCTATTAATACATTGTTCAAATAGACCATAACATAATCCTCATAAATATCTAAGTTCTGAATACTTCATTATTTTTAATTTTGGTAGTGCAGAAAAATAACAGGAGTTTAAAAACTTCAGTTCAAAAAAATGATAAAAAGCTACAGAGATAATGAGACTCCTAACAACATCTGGCAGACCAGCCATCAGATAAACAGCTCTTAAAGCTTTCATCTTTGAGAGAGAGGAAAAAAAATCAAGCTCCATTATTCAGATCTGAAAATGCTTCTCAGCTCTAAGGGTCTGAAGGATGTGTAGCTGTTAAAAAGTCATTACCAAGAAAAGAAAATAGACAAAAAAGAAGAACATTTGCACTAGAACACCAAAACTGTGAGATGTGGACGTTTTGTGGACGGAGGATTTACTTAATTTATAATTAATGTTACCGCAGGAAATGTAACCAACTTCTAAGAATGAACTTAGAACCAGAATGCATTTAGAAGTGAAGTTAGCTGTTAGGCTACCTACTTCACCAAGTGTTGCTGCACACTGACGGAGACTCGATTTGGCTCAGTGTGCATGCGGTTACTTTGACTTATGTACTCACCTCTGTTTTAGCTCGTAATGATAATATGATGAGTGTCGATCATCATTATAAGCTGTGTGCATTTTTTGACAACTTTCAAAATTAGTAGAGGACCTGTCCCACCAGGAAGTGAGACTGCAGCCCTGTCCTTCATGACCACAGTTAGATCCCATTGTTTTGAAGTAATTGTGTCCCAAAATCTGAAAATCATTGAGAATTTCAGTCCCGAAACACATGTTTAATTTTTTGTGTGTTTTAATGAAAATATGATGATTTTGCATGTGTACAACTGTCAAAGCTGTGTTTGCTAGTCATGTACTGGTTCTGCTCAAAATGAGCTAAAATCATCACTACCGAAACAGTCACTACTGAAACATTTGGTAAAGTTTTGGTTGTGTCGTGATGGTTTTGGAATGTTGAATCGTTTGTTTTTATACAATAAACATAATTAAGGTATAGCGTCACTCAAAGCAAGGGATTTTAGTCAAAAGTCCAAGTCAGTCAAAAGTGTGAAAAACGTTGTCAACTCTGAACCAATTCAGTAGGACGATCCTTAAAAGTAGGGCAAATTTTCAGCTGCTTCTGAATTTAGAATTTATCAAATTGAGACAACGTATTCAATCAAATAATACATGTTAAGAATCGTTACACTCTTATTAATGTACATCAGTGCATTGAGAAGTAATTGCGCTAAACTGTACCAGATATTCAGCCGAGCCTCTTTTTCTTCTTTTAAGCTTCATGTCAGTTGAAGAACAGGGTCTTTGGTATAAAGTCAGTCGCTGTCGTGGGTCTCGCCGCCTGTGAACTCTTTGTCATTCCTAGGGTGTGCTCGTCTAGCCGACACGGAGGAAGCGCTGCCTATTCAGGGTCTTACGCTAATGCCTTTTTATGCAGTCTCCAGGGAGGGAGCCTTTTACCCTGACTAAATTTGCTCCCTTTGACCCTTCCGCCGCTCTCCATAGCAACCCCTGGAGCTGACAGGCATCGGCGGATGTTAATCTGGGTCACGGCATCTGTCTCCGACAGCCACGCTGCTCCTTCCTCAGAGAGCAAGCCTGCCTGCAAGTTTGGCAGCCTTTTTACCGCCACTAACTTCCCCTAATTACACCTGCCTCGGGTGTGTTGAGGCTGACGTTTTTGTGTTAGTTTGAAGCTGAAAATAATGTCGTCCGTCCCAAGTGGTACCTGTCGTCTGAGGCTCAAAAAACAGAAGTTGATTAGTTTTCCTGAGGAGGCTAATTAAAGATCATTTGTACACGCTCCACAGATACAATCCTCGGCAGAATATTAGGAATGGAATCTACAGCCAGCCACTGTTCTGTTAGACATGAGAAACCCTGTAAGGAGTGATCTACTGGCTGTCAGCCACCAATTCCGTTGCCCAGACTACAGAGCCAGCGAGCCAAGACCAGCCGTCTGCTCGCGACTCTGCCCTCCTGGGTCTCCCTGATGGAGAGATTCCCTCGGCCCGGAGATGGAGCTTCTCCCAGCAAACCTTTGGGGTCACCCCATTGGCTAGGACCGTCTGGCAAGGCCAATCTCACGGGAACTGGAAACTCAAGCGGCGGAGGAAAGAAACATGACCTAGTCTAGTTAACGCGCTCGAAATAGAACCAGTTCCATATACCAGGCCGAGCAAGTAAAGAAGCTAAGTGCTTGTGTATCAATTAGAGATTACTTATGAGACGCTAAATGGAAGACATTGGGACATAATTGGGGGGGGGGTGAATGTTGAATAAGGTTCGGGGTGGTAGGGCAGACAGTATTTATTCATGTCTGCTTGGGCGTGAATATGCATTGGAGCGCAAGCGAATTAAGACACTAGACTGGAGACGTCGTGAAATTATGATGAAGCAACACATCTGCCCTTTTAGAGGAGGCGCTGTGGGTGCAGCTTGGGGTAGAAACTTACAGGCAGTGGTCTTCTCAGAGGTTCTTCCCACAGGATCCCAACCCAAAACACAAATACACTGACTTGTAGGTTTGCCTGTTGTGGAGCGATGAAAGGAAAATGCTAAGCCTGATGACGGCAAATACGTAAGCTTAGAAACCAGGTCATTCTGGTTCTTCTTCTCTGTATCTTGAAGCAGTATATCAGACTTTTGACCCTCAAAATGATGACTTATTGCTCCAAATTTTGACTTAGTATCTTG